CGGAGTTGAACAACAAACGGCCTCCAGTGACCTGTAAACAAAGTTTGGGCATGGCAGAAGTGCATAGGACGATGAATTAAAGTGATGGTGGCGAAAGTGTAGATACAAGTTCTTTACGGTCATTGAGTAAATCACATATTTCGTAACCTTACATATATTTATGGAGTTTGTTATCGTTCCGGTTAAATTTATGGTGAAATAAACAGCCTAGCATTTGTACTATGCGAAGTTTTCTCGGAACTTGACTAGTCTAAGTAAAAATTTCATCAAAATTTCTCCACTAACACTACCGCTCTTTCTCGTTTCACGATATGTCATGATGTACAATACTATGTTTATGTATTCCTACAAAAGTGAGTTTCCACGCAGTGCATTCACTGACGTAAAAACAGTAGTGGAAGAATGCTTTTCTATGTGTTCATAAACAAGACACTGTAGGAATGGGTACATAATCTTCACGAACAACCTGAATTACCTGCGAATTTTCTGGCAGTTCGTCGGTGTCCTCCTTTGACCACATAATAACTGCTGACGGATCTCCGGTCACCTTTACATGTTTATATAAACTCAGACCACCGAATGCTACGCTAAAAATGGAATAATCCAACCTTACAGTCGAACCAAGCGCGATCTCCAACATTGACCGACTCCGAAGAGACATCGAGCAGAACTTGAATAATTGTGTCGGGAACTGTAAACAAGCACAGTGATGCCCCCACACAAATTTATGGAATGAAAGCGAACCGAATATCTGGGCGTCAACATAGCCCTCGACAACGTTGTCATCAAAGGTGACTCGGCACATGTACATTCCCGACGTACTGTCGTCGAAATCTTTGATTCTGTAATTGTACTCCTAGATTTCCGCACAACAAGGGCATCCAAGTTTCAGACGAGTATAACAAGAGCAAACATACTCAAGCTTGTTGCCATTTGGAATAGCATTTCGAGGAAGTTCTTCTGCATCCGTCTTCGACCATTGCACCTGTTTGGAAGTTCAGTAGTACAGTTAAAACTGTGTAAGTAAAACACCACCTTGGATCCAGGAACTGAATAGACTGGGCAAGTAAACGTCGCATCGGATTTCTCGTCAAACTTGACAACTTGAGCATCTAAAAAGGGTAAGTTGATTTAGCTCTACCACTGCTTTTGAGTTTCTTTTGCCGTGCAAAATGCGGAAAAAGCATTGGAGCAATGTTAGCCTGCCTTTTCGACGAGTACAAACCCTCGTTTATTTGTTTTTCTGGGAACTCGCTGCTGAAGAGCTAAAAGAGAGGTCTAATTACGAAGCCAGATTTCATTTTTTTGCTTAACTTCGAAATATTGTTAGCTGAGGCCCCTCATAAACTACTGGGTGATAATATCAGTCAACTGTAAATGCTCAAAACAACTCATTACAAGGCATAGAGATTTTCGGGGTACATACAGTGCAGGTATTTTTGAAGAAGGTTTCACCTGAAACTCTATAGAGAAGCTGGCAAATAACAACAGTTATATATGAGCATATTCGAGCGAAGTGCAAATTAAGTGTTAAACGAAAATATCTAAGATTTGGCTAGCTAAAGCAATGTTTGAAAAGTTCTGAGAAATCATTTCAGACAAAATTACAGAACTTAATTGATATTTGCCTAATAACGTGAAAAATTAGTTCCAGGAAGTAGTTTTGAGTTAGTCTGATCTGTTTAAGACAAAACAAAATCACAACTTCCTTGATTTCTTATCAAAGATTTCTAGGAAGAACACAGTCAGGGTAGCTAAGTTTCTCCTACGCTCCACTTCCTCCATTCTTGCCTAAGTGGAGAGGCGAAGCAGAAACTCAGTAGCCTGTAGAATTTTTGTCTACTTTACTGGCAGAAATTTCAAAAAAGATACGTGCATTTCAGTGTCAATGTATCCCGTGATTTTAATTCTTGGATAACTACGAAATAGTAATCCTACTAGTCGGTGAGCCATATCCGACGGTAACAGCCGTGTATGCGCTGCCAATGACGACTCCGTTATCGTCTTCTACATTGCATCTGTACACTCCAAAGTCGTTTGTAGGCTCGGCGCTCTTTATATGAAGCGTAGCCTCATTTCCAAGTTTTCTGACAATGTTTCCGCCTCGTAACAAAGCCCATTCGAAGTTTTCGCCGTTTTTGGCACCTGAAATTCGGGACTCGGTTTGGCTAAATGGCCACTTAGTTAGGTGGTGAGTAGGATTCAGTTATGGTCGACATTTTGTGAGTAGGATTAATGTGCACAAACCCTATTAAGTGCAAAATCCGCATTTCACACGACAAAAGCACAACATTACTACAAAAACAAAATGTGAAAGAGTGC